AAGCCATAAATTCAGAGAAAATATTGCCAAATTGCATAGCTCATAAGGGATCCAGAATGAAGAATGCTCAGAACTCAATTTAAAAAAAAAGCAATCCTATTAAAAAAAAACTGAACAGGTAACTTCACCACAGCAGACATAAAAATAGCAAATAAGCACATAAAGAGATGCTCAACATCATTAGTGAAGAGGAAAACACAAATTGAAATAATAATTACATACTACATACCTATTAGAATAATTATATTTAAAAGACTGACTATACCAAGTGTGAACATGGAAATGGAGGAACTGGAACTTCCATGCACTACTAAGGTAATACTGTAAAACTGGTACAACCACTTTGAAAATCACTTTGGCAGTTTATTACACAATTTAAAATACATCATTTGGCACATCCCACTCCTAGATATACTTATCCAGCTCAAAAAAACCACAAATGTCCATCAACAGGTTAATGGACAAACTATGATATAATCATACAGTGGAATACAATTCAGGAATAAAAGGATTGAATAATCAATATACTCAATGATTTATATGAATTTCAATTCTGCTAAGAAGTCAGACACAAAAGAGTGCATACTTTACAATTCTACTTATAAAAAGCTGTAGAAAATGCAAGCTAATCTACAATGAACAAAATCAGATTTGTAACTGGGGATGGGGGAAAGAGGGACATAGAAGAGAAATTGGAAAGACAAAAGGGGAGGGATTACTAAGGAACATAAGGAAACATTTGGAGGTGATGGACATTAAATTATGTTTACTATGGTAGGAAGTTTCATCAGTATGTGTGTGTATATATATATACATGTCAAAACTTCTATTGTACAATTTAAATATGTATAGTTTATATGTCAATCATATCTCAATAATAGATTTTTAGAAGCTTAACAGTAACCATTAAAGAATAGCAATATAACATAAGCATAAATATAAGAAAAAGAAAGTAAAAGTTAGTACAAATTTCACAGAAGACAAAAACAATCAATAAAATGCAAATAATATAAATTAACCCAAATATATGTTACAATTAATGTAAACTGATTAAGCTCACCAGTGTATTACAAGAGTGTATCATATTTTAAAAAGAAAAAATCCAATTTTATGCTACTTAAAAAGATTAAAACTGACACATTAAGGCCAAGATAAAGTAAAAAATAGAGATGGATAAAGATATAGCATAAACATATTAAGCACAAGAAAATATGGTGTATCAAATAAAACAGAATTTAAAGCAAAAATTAGGAGACAGCTGTGATAATGACAACAAAGACAGAGATTGGAAGAATTAATATTGTTAAAATGTCCATACTACTCAAAGAAACTTACAGGTTCAATGCAGTCCCTACCTATCACTACCAATGGCATTCTTCACAGAACTAGAAAAAACAATTCTAAGACTTATACGGAACCTTAAAACCACTTAAATAGTTAAAACCATTTGGAGCAAAACTAACAAAGTAAGACACATTATTTGACTTCAAAAATGAAACAAAAGCTGTTTGCAATCAAAATAGCATGGTATTTGGCCTAAAAATAGACATTGGACCACCTAAACAGAATAAAGAACCTAGAAGTAAATCCAGGCATATACAACCATTTTTCAACAGTGTTGCTAAGAACATGCACTGGAGAAAGGGTAGTCTTTTCAACAGATGGAGTTGGGAAAATTGGGGAACTATATGCATAAAAATAAAGCTGAACCGCATCTCTCACCAGTTCCTGCAATGATTTTTTTTTTTTTTTTTGGTACCAGGGATTGAACTCGGGATCTTGTGCTTGCAAGGCAGGCGCCGGAACCACTGAGCTAAATCCCCAGCCCCCTGCAATGATTTCAATGAATGAATTTTTTATACCTTTGAACTGTCTTCTAATTTTTCATTCATTCCTATAATTTTGATATTGCTTTTTGTGTCATCTAGTAACTGTTGGATCTAGCTTGCATGTTTTTTTCTCATTCTTAGAGTATCATTGAGTTTATAATCTACTACATCCACCTGGTCTTCAATTTATGACATACTGTCTTCATACTGGTCAAATCTGCTAGCCATGCTTTCTATTGAATTTTTCATATCTTCCATTTCTGCTTGCTTTGTTTTCATAAGCTCTAGTTTACTGTTTCTTTTTTAAGCTCATCAAACATTTTATTAGTAAAATCTTTTATCTGTTTAATGAAATTCCCTTTAATCTCACTAAATACCTGGTGAAATTTCTTATGTGTTTCTTCTTTAAGCTCTTCAAACACTTTGACGATTTGGTTTTTTAGTTCTTTATCTGTAAATTCCTCTACTTCACTGTCTGTGGGATTAGCTTTTGAGGAGCTGAGGGTTTTTGGAGGCATCTTGTTGCTATGGTTTCTCATATGTCTATTGTTTTTGTGCTGCATGTTGAAGATCAGTTAAGTTACAGAAACTCTGTCTCTACTATATAAATCTCTCTAGTTAGAAGACTGGGAAAACTGGTTATCCACCTGCAGAAGATTGAATCTAGACCCATACATCTTACCCTAAACTATAATAAAATCAAAATAGATCAAAGACCTAGATATTAAAACAGAAGTACTGAATCTGCTGGAATACAAAATAGGCAAAACTCCTGAAGACACAGGCATAAGCAAGGACCTTCTGAATAGAACCCCAATTGTACAAGAAATAACACCAAGAATCAACAAATGGGATTACATCAAGTTAAAAAGCTTCTACACAGCAAAGAAAATCAACAGAATGAAAATACAACCTACAGAATGGGGAAAAAAATTGCCAGCTGTTCCTCCAACAGATGACTAGAACCTATAATATATAAAGAGCTCACAAAAATTAGATCTCCAAAAATAAAAGACCCAATCAAAAACTGGTCAAGTAAAATGAATAGACATTTCTTAGAAGTACAAACAGCCAATAAGTACATGAAAAAATGTTCAGCATCTTTGACCATTAGAGAAATGCTAATTAAAACAACACTGAGTTTTCATCTTACTCCATAAAGAATGGCCACCATCAAGAAATCAAATAATAATACATGTTGTCAAGGCTGTGGAGAAAAAGGAACCCTTCTACATTGTTGGTGGGAATGTAAACTAGTACAACCATTATGGAAATCCGTTGGAGATTCCTCAAAAAACTAAGAGTAGTAATTCCACTGGATCCAGCAATACCTATACTAGGTATCTTCTCAAAAGAGCTAAAGATATCATATTATAACAATACACACATACCCATGTTTATAGCAGTACAACTCATAATAGCTAAATCTTGGAAATGACCATATGCCCATCAAAAGATGAATGGATAAAGAAAATATGGTATTTATACACAATGGAGTACTACTCATTCACACAGGAAGATAAACTTGAAGGGGAATGGGGAAAAAATAAGAACCAAGATACATCATGTAAAGGTACAAGCTCCCAATGATGATGTAACTGTACTGTATACCTAAAATGTACCAATAAACTTAATGGAAAAAAAAATTGAAAAATGAAAGAAAGGCTAAGGTCTAGCTCAGTGCAAAGGCCCTGGGCTCAATCCCTGGTACCACACAAAATAAATAATACATTGGAAACAGAAAAAAAAAAAAAGACAACGGTACTTCAAAAACAAATTTATTGTCATATTTACAGGCAGTCAGTAAATAATCAGCAATTAGGGTCTTGGGATAAACTATCTCTGCGGAATTGTATTTATCCCTAAACATATTAAGGTGTATGCATTAAATATGTACAGTTTTTATGTCAATCATATCTTCTCAATAAAGAAGCTTAACTGATCAGTAAAAAAAAAAAAGAAAAAAAGAAAGATAAACTTAAGTCATTTGTAGGAAAATTGATGCACCTTGAGACCAGAATGCTAAGTGAAATAAATGACACATTACGTGATTTCTCTTACGTGAGAAACTCAAAGTATAAATAGTGTGAAGAGTAAAATTAAATATGATAAGAAACAGGGTGCTAGAAGGGAAAAGGATCTAGAGATTGAAGGAGAGGAGACAGAAGGGAGAGGATGGGTAAGTAAAATGAATATGCCATGTGTACAAGTACCCGTTCCCTACAGTGAATGTATTTAGTACGTATTGCAAACATGTACTAATAAAAAATAAATAAATGTTAAATCAAATAACTTAAAAAGCAATATTCCTTTTTTAAAAAATCTAGTTATTGCAGAATTTTAGGCTCTTCATTAATTATTTTGAATTGCAAGGTTTTGTATCAATTAAACAAATGCAAATGCCCTGAACATTACTTACTTAGAATTAATAAATTCCTGTGAAATTTTTTAAATGAAACAAATAGACAAAAACAAACACAAAATTGCCACCAATAGTATACTTCCTCAAAATGCTACACCATGTGTATCATTAGTCAAGAGTTCAGTGGGGTTTTTTTAAAACAGTTCTTTTGTTGTCTTTTGAGGTAATAAATACATAAAACTTAAGTATACAATTTGATGGATTCAGACAAATGGCATACATTTGTACAACTCCAAACTCTACCATGATACAGAACATGAGTGTCACCCCCAAAAGTTCTCTCATCCCCTCCTAGAAAAATCCCTCACCTCCTCCCAGCTCCACAGAGGCAATTATTGTTCGAATTTATTTTCTACTCTATCATTTTTGCTTTTTCCAGAACTTCATATAAATGGACTCATACAATATGTACTCTTTCCTATAAGGCTTCTCTCACCCAATACATTGATTTTTAGATCTAGCCATGCTTTTTTCTTCCAACTATAAAAGTTAATTTACTTACCATAAAAATGACTATTAGGATGAGACAGATGCCCACTATAATGAGGAAGGGGATTAGATAGTATTCCAGAGGAAGATTAAATTCTGGAACTAAGATAATGTGGCCCCTAGAAGAGAACAAAAATTAGTAACTGAGAACCAGTAAGAGTGGTCCAATTATGATATTCACTAAATACAAAAATAATTTTTTAAAAAAGATATGCAAACATTATACACTATATATATCTCAGTTTCTAATATGTACCTTCTAATAATTTAAGATATGTTCTTTATATCAAGTTTATTTCAAAATAACTTGCAAATATAATTAAAAGATATTCTTCAAAGTGGTAAAGAAGACCAAATATTACTATGTCTATCTTAGAGGTTATTTACTGAATCACATAATCTAGGAAAAATTATATTGTATATGCAACATTAGCATAAAACAATGGTAATACCATGGTAGCATGTCAACAAGAACCCCCACCTCAACCAAATTATTGTTTATCTCTTCCTTCTAGAGAAAAACTCTAGAGCCATTACTGATAAAAAAAAAATCCTTTTTTCCTATGTGTTTTACATGTACTTGATGTACCAATAAACAATAGCCTCTTATTCTGCATTCATCTATGAGATGGGGAATTAAAAACTGGTCAAGGAATTCACGAGAGTTGTTTTTTTCTCTATTCTCTAGGCTCTCTACTGCTTCCCTGAAATAAACTACAGGAATATGTACATTGTGAAGGTGGGAAGGAATGCCTTATTCCATTTGTTACTAACCATTCATTAGTAATTGTAACGTTATTATTACAAAAATTGATGGAAATCTATAAAATAAAAACTGCGCTATCAAAATAAGTAAACTGTGCTGCATGGTCAAATTTTACATGGTATTAAATTTTATTTTCATAATCTCTATAATCTAAGGGAGAATCTGTAAAATGTTCAGTAATATGACTGATCTATTAAGCCTACTGTTCTACAAGACTAGTAAGATATCAGCAACCCTATTATATCCGCTGGTGGTGATTTTTTTAACATAGTAAAGCCAGGTATTTCATAATACAAAGATTCAAGGTAAAATAATAATTTTGAGGGTAAAGCAAAATAGAATCATATGACTCCTCCCATCATAGAGGTGCTTACAATCCCACAGTACTTAAGAAACACAAAAGTAAATTATTTCTATTCCCAACTGTTTTTTGGGCGGCGGCGGCGGCGGGGGCGGGGGCTACCGGAGATTGAACTCGGGATCTTGCACGATTGCGAGGCAGGTGGTGGCACTACTGTGCTATATCCCTGGCCCTTCCCAAGCTGTTTTTAAATGTTCATGCTATTATTTGTTAATCTTAATCCAAGGAGCTCTATTAATCTTCATCAAAAGTACCCGGGCTGGGGATTTAGCTCAGCTGTGTCGTTGCCTGCCTTGCAAGCATAAGGTCCCAAGCTCAATCCCTGGTACCAAAAAAACCCCCAAAAAACCGCAAGATAATACCAGCAACTTCTCTCCAGTAATTTAAATATTTTCCCCAAACTGACAGGACTGCTTGAATATAAATGATCCTTTTACATCAGTGGCTTTCTAGCAGAATGATAGATAATAAAGGATTTCACAAGCAGTTTTTACAGTTTTGTTTAAAATACTAAAGTGACTGATACATCATCAATGTACAAAAGGTAAAGTAGCAGCGGGCCTGGGCTTATCTATTTGATACTGTCTCATCCAGCAAGAGGCCAGCTCTGTAAATATGTCCCAGTTCCTAGCACAAACTCTCTGAAACCACTGTTAAATCACCCTTCTAAAGTATAAAGGCCATTCTATGAGATGCTAATTCTCTGAAAATTCCCTACTTCATTCCAACCAGTGTTATAAATTAACATTGCTGAGATTTAGGAGCCAGATTACTGCATAACCTGAATTTAATAAATTGTAGATTCATAATATCTCAGAAGTAGAAAAGCTTGTATCTCTTATATTGTTTTTTCCTGCTCTTTTTATGTTTAAGACTTCCTAAAATACATTCAGTCTATACAAGTTAAACAAACACTATCCTATGAAACAAATCCAGGGTTGCTCAGAAATGAACAGAACGGCTTGGTGAGAAAAAACAAGCTAAAAGAACAAATCAGGAAGTCCCCATGAATTAGAAATTAACAGTTTAGTAGAAATCTCCTGTGTGTTTATTATTATAAAAGTGGCATCAATTTCAGAATTTTTCAGAAGCACTGTTAGAATTCACTGGCCTGGTTTATAAATCAAATGTTCTACATGACCTATTAATGCTTGTCTGACTTGCCTACCTTATTTCAAATCATTTTAGTTTACTGTCAAGATATATTATCAGGACAGTAAATGGCTTACAAGTGATTAAAAGATTTTAAGTATCTTGAATTAAAAGCTCAGTACTTTTTCTTAACCAAATTGCTAGTGGTAAGGTAGACAGAGATAGTGAGAGTGCTGATAACAGGGCCAGGGCGGAGGACTACAGAAAAATATCAGTCCTTTGGATTCATTTCTATTTCCTCTGGATTCATTTCTATTTCCTCTGTCTGGTGAGGTCTCCCACAGCTGAGCATGCAGATTCACCCTTGTCTAGTCCCAGATTAATCAGTATTTAAAACAGAGGTTGCCAGGGATTTAGCTCAGTGGTGTCAATGCCTCCCTAGCAAGTGCAAGGTACTGAGTTCAATCTATGGTACCAAAAAAAAAAAAAATTAAAACAGAGGTATTTGAACAACTTTAGTATTTTAACATACTTCCTCCATGTCCACCCTTAAATACAGTATACTACATGAGCTCCGCAATTAAGATTTGATCATTGAAGCAGTCTTAAGTAACCCAGGAAATAAGGTTTTAATCTCCTTTGCATGAGTTCCCACACTAATTTCAAACCAAGTATCTAGGTCTAAGCTTTATGAAAATAACCCATCTAATTTCTCAATTCTTCTATTCATACATGAAGTTCGGCCTTCTTGTCTGTTCTGGCAATCAACCCCTACCAATCAAACTACTGCACTTCAGTGGATGTACAGCCACACACCAGACAGTCTTCTGTCCTTGTCTTGGTCACTTTCTGGGTGGTGAGACATAACACCTGACACCTGCAACTTTAAGGAGGAGAGGTTTATTTTGGCTCATGTTTTTAGCCCATACTTGACTAGCTCCAAGACAGATGGCACAGCAGAAGGGCATGGCAGAGGAGAGCTGAGCTGCTCGAGGCAAGGCAGACAGGAAGCAGAGAGTGAAGGGAGGAGCTGGGGAAAGAGATATATTGTATACGCTTCCAGGCCACACCCATACCTCTTGCAACCAGGCCCCATTTCCTAACTGCACATTTAGCTGTAAACTCATTAGTGGACTAAACTATCCATGAGCATAGTGTCCCCATGACCCAGTCACCTCCCAAACACATGAGGCTTCTGAGGCCATTTTAGATCTAAACCATAACAATCCTACAGAACAACTTCGGAAGCAACAAACTGATCAGCCCAACTGTTGGGGATACCAGAACTATTTCAACTGACTACTTCACTTGCCCCTCTGAGACAAAGCTCATAGCTATCTCACCAAACATCCTATACTTCCCACTAGATAGACATAGTGCTCAGCCCTGTGTTCCCACTTGTGGCACACCCTGTTTTCCTGCCTGTATACGGCTGTGTCTTATTAAGGAGTCACAAAGTAACATAAAATCAGTTTAATTTCACCACCATTTACTGAATATTTATTATGATAAACCATGGTGCCCAGTGTTAGGGATGGAATATGAAAAACTAAGAGTCCTTCACCATGAGAAAGAACATAAAGACTTTTGAATTGTAGGAAACCTCAAGGTTCTTTGTTCTATTTCTTCGCTTTTTTTTTTATTCATATATATTTCCAATACATTATTATATTCATCTTGGGGAATTGGTACATATAGATATCTCATATTAATAATTTTTATTTCCCCTTTCCAACCTCCCATTTCTTCCATCACCGATTCCCTTCCCATCTCCATAAAATTATCTCCCTGTCCATGAAGATAAAATGATCTCCTAAAGGGCATACTACAGCAATCTCTCCTGTGCACTTCACTACTCGGTGTGATCAGAACAGTTCTTCCCGTTGGCTATAATCTGGAAAAGTTGTATGTCATCCATATTTACCTTTCTTAGTTAAAAAGTTGCAAAATACAGAGTTCAAGCTTCTAAAAGACCAAAGTAGACAAAGGACACAAAATAGCTTACAAAAATATTGCCTTTGAATAAAGAAATGCTAACATAGCCAACAAGTTTTCTTCTTATTAGACTAGCAAGTAATTAAAATTACCAATAATTACCCTTTTTTTCAGGAGGGCAATGTGACAGTTGTTTACTGAAACTTAAAACCATTTATCTTTAATCTATAAATTCCACTTTCAGATGCTTTTACTAAAGAAGTATTTGTACAACACCCAACATATAGTCAAAATTATTACCACAGAGCACTCTGCAGTATAAAAAAACTTGAAGAAGGATAAGGACAGTTATAAAGCATTTACTGCATACTGGGTATTATTCTCAAGAATTTTATTAATGTGCTTATTCTCACAGCAATGCTATATGGAGTAGATACTATTATTATTACTATTTTTAAAGAAGGAGGGGGCTAAGACTCAGAGATGATAAATTTTTGTTAAGGTCATGTGCCTAAAAAATGATGGACTAAAAAAATGATGGAAGCCAGGATTATAGACTGTGTTTGTGACTAGTGGTTTTATAAATTAAGTAAATTAAGGGATACCTAAATAATGGATTGCTGTGCTATTATTTTAATGGTTGCTAAAAGACAGGGCAGTAGCTTAAAAAGAATGAAGTTAAAAAAAAAAAGCAGGAATTTGTGAATAAAAAGCCAGAATATTAAAGAAGAAACAAGATTTCTCACTCATCCGAGGAATAAGATAAACATATCCACTACCATATACCTGCTACCTATACTAATATTTAACATGATATTGAAGGTATTACCAATGAAAACAGATTTTTTAAAAAAGCAATTAGAAGCACAAAAATTAGGAAGGACATCAACTTTTCTTTTCTTTTTTTTTTCATTCTTTTATTGGTACATTTTAGATATACAATACGTTTACATTTATCCTTGGGTGCTTGTACCTGTACATGATATACATTGGTTCTTATTTTTTCCCCATTCCCTGTGCGCCCTTCCCTATTTACATACTTCGTTTCCATTTTTTTTTCTTTTCTCATAATTTTTCCTTTCCATTCTTTCCTTTCCCCGTCTCCTCCCACCACCCCTACTCCTTTGGACCTTTTCCTATTTCAAAGTATCAATAATTAGTTATTAATCCTTTTAATCCTTATTTACACTCTCAGTTTCTCACACTAGAGAAACTATTCGGGATTTACACATGTGTGTCTTATTTATTTCACTTAAGAGTATGGCCTCAATATGCATCCATTTAGCTATAAAT